AGCTTAGACTACCTTATAGTAAAACTCAAGAAACCAGTACCTATTAAATGTAGATTTATTTTCAAATGTTACTGTAAGAAACCTTTTGTAATCTGTTGACAATTATTTTTGGTGGAAACCCATTTGGGTGACTAAATTGAATCTACCGTTTTCAGTTAGACTTTTCAGCAGATGCTTAATTTAGACCTAATAGAGTATGATATGTAAAAATACAAGTCCTGTTACCAAACAAAAATGAATTTAATCTTATACAGAATACATTGCATAATTTGTCCCTTAAGATTGTACAATTTGAGGTAGAAAAAAAATCACCTTTTTGATTCATGTCAAAACTATTTGTAGGGAGAAAATGGAGTTTTAAGAATTGTTTGAAGGCAAAAGTGAAAAGAAAAAAGAAAATATCAAATAAGTAATGAAATTCAAAATTAGATGTAAGTAAAAAATATCCAGGGTTTAGTAGATGCATACTCTTATATCCATTTCTACTCTTCTATCTTCCTGTCATAAGTGCATTCTGCACAGAACTTAGAGAGCTGACTACTTCTTTGATTCTAGTAGCAGATCTTGTTTAATCTATATATCAAAAATGGACAATAAGAACTGAGGCAGAAAGTTGTTAAAAGGTTTCTATGAAAGATATCACCTTCTGAATTCTGTGTCTCTGTATGATGACAGAATTCCTTCAGCTGTCTTGCCACTTGCATAATAATAAAACTGAGGTTTGGGGGGTGGGGAAGGAGAGCCAAGAGACTCCAAAATGGTACAGAAGTCTTAATATACTATGCCTGAAGATATTTAAACTCTGAATATTTTGTTAGATAAAATTTCCTTTTCTAGTGTGAATTCGAATTTTTTGTTAGCCGAAGATATCATGATGATATTTATTTTGTTCTACTCTTTAAAATGTAGATTGAAAAAATCTTTTTTATCTACTGTTTTATCTACTTTTTTTAAAAAAAATTACATTAGGAGGCATATTTTCCAAATACAAGGAAGCTAATTCTAAATTCTCAACATGTTAGCTGAATTTTACTTTAACAATTAAATGCAGAAGTGTTTTAAAAATAGTCAATTATTGGGGCACCTGGGTGGCTCAGTCAGTTGGGCATTCTGCCTTGGGCTTAGGTCATGATCTCAGGGTTCTGGGATTGAGCACTGCGTTGGGCTTGGCAGGAAGCCTTCTTCTCCCTCTCCTGCTCCCCCTGCTTGTATTCTCTCTCTATGTCAAATAAATAAATAAAATCTTTTAAAAAATAGTCAATTATTCCTCATGAAAACTTGATCTATATTAATGTTTTTTTTTTAAATCATGGTCCCATAATTATGAGTTATTGTAATAGATATTTTAGTTCATAAGGAAGTTGGTGTTTTAAAACATGAAATATGAATCTCTTCATTTAAAAATGCAAGTTGTTTTCAGTTTACTTCTACAACAAACTGACCTTTAGAAAATTAGAAATATTTAAAAATTTAATTAAAAAATCATTTTTAGACATGTCTTTACCATTGAAAAGATTAAAACTTATTTGATCTTTTCTCAATGGGTTTATAAAAAATATTAAGAACATGAAATTACCAATTCTAAACCACTTTAAAATGTTTACTAACTGAAGATTTTCATTTAAAAATTTAAAAATATTTAGAAATTTGGTATTTTTAAATAAACGTTAGAAGGCACTTTTATTGAATTGGTGGTGAATGCCAGCAGGCGTCCACAACAAACTTGGTAATGTTTGTTAGTAGAGGAAGGCAAGAATAGAAGCAATGGCTCAAGGCACCTATGTAAATAAGGTCTTACTGGAATGCTTATCAGAAAAGTAGAGTCTTCTTATTTATCAAGGTACTTGGGTATAAGATTAAATTTTCTTCAAAGAATGAACCTCTATTCCCAACTAGGACGACTTGATATTATCACACACACAAAATTGAAAATGAGCAAAATTCAAATAAATGAATCAAGAAAATCCACAGGATTATGTATTTTTGTAAACTGACTTTGTCATTTCTTACAGCAGATATTAAAAATAAGCAATTTCTACAAAAATTATAGAATATTGTGTAATGAAGCTACAGCTACAATTCATCTAGACATCTGATATAATGTCTATTAATTCCTTGTGCACATAGCAGAGATCTCAGTTCCCTGATACTATCTTAACAATCCATTTACCAGCATTATGAAATATTGTTCAAATATTTGAACACTTTGATAGACTGGATTATCCAGAAAGAGATGTCAAGGCTTGACATACCTACTACACTTCCCAGACCTACTGTTTAGTCTTCTTAAGAACTTTCTGCTTTTGAGGTAAATAATTCTCAACACAGTGATTCAGAGGCCCAATAAATTCAAGTTGGCATATGAGTCTCACATAGATTCTCATGGTAGGTAGGTATTTACTAAACATATTAATAAAGCTTGAAAAGCAAGATACTTTTATAAGATTTACTATAGGCTGTGATAAGATACTCCACAGACAAAAGTTTCGCTTAGAAATTATTGAGACTATAAAACTCTGAATGTAACATAAGACGATACAGATTGTGTGTGTATTTGAGTTGTTCAAAGTGTTTTGAATCATAACATCAAAGCCATCTAAGTAAAAGCCTGAAAATTCTGAGTTTAAAATTGACTTTGAAATAACCCTCAAAACTATAAATAAAGTGAGATATTGGGGAAAAAAAGTCTAAACTTCTATTCTTAACATGTAAAGAAATGTAACAAATCCATACAAATAAAAAACCCAAAAGGAAAACAGACGAATATCATGAAACATTAGTTCACAAATATGAAAACACAGATGGCCAACAAATACAAGAAATGCTGTTTAACTTTTGTAGTAATAAAAAAAAGTAACCATGAAATATTTTGCTTTACATATCATTTTGAATTGGCTGACAACTTAAACAAAATCTCCTGATCTTGGAGTATAGGGAAATGGACAGCCCTCCACACTGATAATGGAATTGTAAATGGCACAAGTTTTCTGGAGAGCATTTGGGAAATATTTATCAAAAATTATTTTAAATTACCAGCCCTTTTCAACATTAATTCCAATGAATTACACATTTTCTTAAGAAAATAATTGGATATCTGTAAGCATAGATACATTTGCAAGGATGTTTATCTCCAAGTTGTTTATGACAGAAGAAAAAAGGGTGCGGGTAAGGAACAATCTAATAACCTTTATCTGTATCAAGAGAAAATTCATTATATTATAGTACAAACATTGAAGGGCTAAAACTCATTAAAATTATAATGCAAATCATTTTTTGTGGATCTGGAAGTTGACTATGGCATATTGTAAAATTAAACAAGTAATTTGAAATAAGGTTATAATGATTCTATTTTTGTTAAATTATCTATGTGTACATGTATAAAAAATTGGGAGGATATGCAACAAGTTTTAACAGAAGATTTGTCGGCATAATAGTATTTTATGTTGCTGTTAAATTTTTCAATGTCTAAAAGAGACTTTTAATTTAGAAAATGTGCCATGAACAAACATATAGTATATACAAAAATAAATAGAAACAGATTTTCTTATTCTTTCATAGCTAAACTATTGCCAAAGGCAATCTTTTAATATATCTTTTGTACTGGTAATATAAGAAACAAGCTTTGAATATATAGTTGCAGGAAACCTCTAAGCAGAGTAAAAAAATAAATAAATAAAATAGAATAGCAATAACAAGAACAACAAAGCTATTCCAGACACCATTGGTAAAACAGAATTTTAAAAGTAATTATTTAAATGTTAACAAATAACTCTTGTTTCTGTTTCCAAGGTGGATTTCAAATAGCACATAGTGAATCAAGTAACACAGATCAAGGGTAAGAGAAAGAGAGGTCTGGAAATGGGACTAAAAATTATTCTAAAAAATAAGCAAATTAATGTAATTTCAATTTACCAGAAAATTAGTGAGCTTTAAATTGAGGTTAAAACCAAATCTTAATGGGTTATGTTTCTCTCATGTTCTAATAAAGAGACATGAGTTCATAAAAATAAAGAAACATACTTTTCTCAACCCTGAGATAGTATCATTACATCAAAAAATATAAAATAGAGATTGAAAAAGAGTTGTTAAACAGAATTTCTATATTCTCTATATATGACTTTTATAATATTAGTGTCTGGTAAAAACTTAAGGCATAATACTAACCTGTATAGGTATGAAGAGATTAAGACCAAGCCAACTTTTCTCACCTTAATTGACAAAAGTTTAAAGCTTAAGGAATATAGACGTTAAAGTTTTACTACTCAAGTCCCAATTTTGATAATTAGCAAGCACATGAATTATATATAGTCTACCAATGGAAAGAAGAGCAAAATGCCCTATAAGTCAGGTTTGTAGGAAACATTAAAAATCTCCATCATTAATTTCAGTCATCAGAAAACAACCATGTCAGGATATAACTTCAAAAGAAATTCAACTGTTTCCTACTACTTTAAACATTAATTCAAAATGAAATTAGATATTGAATTTATACTAGCCATTCTTAAACCTTTGGTTTCTTTAAAAAGCTTAGATGAGAAATTAGAGAATTTGTTTATGAAAATAAATTACTTTGTGATTTTTAGTTATAAGAACTATTTTTAGCATACTTTCATAGAAGAAATTAAAGATAGCAACATTACTAAAATAAGAAAGAAAATATGAATAAACCCAGATAATTACCTCACTTCATGCGGCTCAAAATGTAATAAAAATATATCTAATTATACTTATTGCTACGGATACTTAATTAAAATCAGAGAAATACACAATATTGTCATTAGAAGATGTGCCTCTGTAAAATGAATCAAGCTTCCAAGATTCATTTATTTTTTCCACACAAGAAAAAAATAGCTTTGTATACAAAACCTTTTATCACAAAGTTTACTAAATTAAGTGGCCATCAGCTGGGATTTGGAATTTTCTCAGGATAATTCAGGCAGAGATCATTATCATTCCAACGCCTGCTGCAAACACTGGCTGGTGCAGTAAGTTTTTCTCTCTTAGGGCCTGTGGGCCAGGGCAATGTAGAGTGGCTTGGAGCCCAAGATTCGCCCATTCATCTCAGCCATTGCTTTAGTGGCCTCCTCAGGAGAAGAGAAGCAGATCAACCCAAACCCTTTGCTTCGCCCTTCTTCCCGCATTATCTTGACTCTGCTAATTGATCCAAATGAAGAAAATTCCCTCCACAGTTTTTCATCATCGATGGTATCATCGAGGTTCTTAATATAGAGCTTCATGCCCCGGCTTCTCCGAAATCTTTCCTGTTTCAGCTGCTCGAACATTTGCTTCAACTCAGCCTGCCGCTCTGATTTTTTTTGCGCCCGGCCTACAAAAAGCAGCTGTCCGTTTATGTCCTTTCCATTCATTTCTTCAACAGCTTTTTTGGCAGCCTCATGGCTATCAAAACTCACAAAGCCAAAGCCTTTGGATTTCCCACTGGAATCTGTCATCACCTTAACACTCAGGGTTTTGCCGTATTTACCAAAAACTTCCTTCAGTCTCTCATCATCCATGTCATCGCCAAAGTTTTTGATGTAAACATTGGTGAATTCATTGACCTTGTTTTGGAGCTCAGCTTCCCGATCTTTACGGTTTTTGAATCGGCCAACAAACAGCCTGCAGTCCTTAAGCAGGGCCCCATTCATCTCCTCGATGGCTCTGTCAGCCGCGATCTGGTTCTGAAAGTGCACAAATGCATAACCCCTAGAGCCTTGATCATCAGTCATTACTTTGGAGGACAGGATCTTCCCAAAAGCTGAAAAATGTTCATAAAGGGTTTTGTTATCAATAGATTTGTCTAGATTCTTGATGAACACGTTCCCAATGCCAGATTTCCTTAAGTAGGCATCACGTTGAGACCACATGAGACGGATGGGTTTGCCTTTTATCATGTCAAAGTTCATTGTATCCAGGGCCTTCTGGGCATCAGCCAGCTTCAGGAAGTTCACGTAGGCATAGCCCAGCGAGCGGCGGGTGACCAGGTCCCTGCAGATGCGGATGGACAGCACAGGCCCCACGGCGCTGAACTTTTTGAACAGCAGGTCCTCGGTGACATCTGCATTGAGATCACCCACATACAGGGATGCCTGGCGGTACTTGGCTGCTATGTTCATCTCTTTGCTCCTCCCCACGTGAGACTGTCCCTAGCAGCGCTTGGAACGATTCCAGCAGCAAGGTGACCAGGCCACGGTCTGGGCCGGGCTCACACGTGATGGCCTGAGGATCAGAGCTTAGAGGCCTAGAGGTGGGGTTCAGGGACAGCTCCAGCAGGTTAGGCAACAGCCTCATCAAAAACCTCCCCGCCCCCGCAAGCAACCAATTCGGCTCTAACTGTATGATAGCAGCAGAATTCTGAAATCTCAAAGAAAGGCTAGCGGGGCAAGACGTTCCTTCCCCATCAATCTGTGAGAAACCTTCAAGGGGTGGGCTGGCCCTCCATCTGAGCGTTCTCTACAGGCACCCTGGTTCCTGGTTTCTGAATAAAAATAGGCCTCTCTCAGGCTGGTGTAAAGTTACAGCCGCCGGAGGAAGAACTCCACAAGTGGCGTTAGAGGCGGCTGCTCCGGCCGCGCAGTGGGGACGGAGGGCGCAGGGCCCCGGCGAGACCCGAACCCGCCGGGGGCCGAGTTCTGCAAGCGCCGCGGCCAAGGCGCCGCCGGGGCCAACGCCGGCCGCGGGCGCCCTGGCAAACCCCGGCCACTCTCCGCAGGGCCGACCCCGCGCGGCGCCTGGGGATGGACGAGTGGGGGAAGGGGGGAGCGGACGGACCCACGGACGCGGCCCAGCAGGCTGCGGCCGAGCTGGGGCTGGGGGCTCACCCGGGCTGCGGCCGGCGGGGGGCGGGCTGGCGGCTGGCGGGAAACCCGGAACTCGCGCGCTGAACTTCCCGCGCACCCGCTGCCAAGTGGGATGTTTTCTTTTTAATATTTTTTGAGAATGTTCTTCTTCCCCCCGCCCCTCTCACACATTTCCCACCTCCCCCAGACAGTTACGCGGAGAAGCAGGAGGCGGTGACTTGGGTGGAGAAAGGCTGACTAGGGGAGTGGCCCTAATAAACCCACCCGCCTGCAGGGATTTGCACCGGTCTCACCGGAGGATCTTTTCCAAACGTGGATCAGGGCTTGTCCCTTCTTGCTTATCATCCTCCAGTGGCTTCCTTTGACTTGTGGATGAGGCCCAACATCCTCACCTTGTGCTACAAAGTTCTGCAGTATTCCTGCCAAGTTCCAGCCTCAACTTACTGCTTGGTTCCCCTTACTAAAATCCATGATAGACTGACTTATTTTTTTCAGGGCCACCTTTACAAAAATGTACTTCTCAGAAATCAGTTTAAATACTCTTTCCAAATAGACGTTTTCCCTAAGTAATTTAGGAACGTTTTGATATCCCTCTTAGAACCCTAATACTACCCTTGTAATTCCGTGACAGTAGGGGCCATGCCCATTTTATTTCTAGGCCTAACCGAGGGTCTTTCAGAAATGGGTTGTTCAATGTTTATTCAATTTATTGACTATGGAATAGATGCGGTATTTAGCCTGAGGCTGTTTTTCATGCCCAGGGACATGAAGATAGTGTTGCTCACCTCAGAGAGTATTGTAAGGATTTAATGAATTAATAGATTTGGAAATATCTAACAGTATCTGACAGTCCAGGTTTTCAGTAATAATGATTTTATTTCCCCTACCATTAAATAAATTTCTTAACATCATTCTCATAAAACCTTAAAATGTGCATCATAACTCATCTTAAGGATTGTTACAAGCAAAGTGGATTTGGGTGGATCAGTTTATATAAAGCTAATTACAAGGCTTTTCAAACTTTAATGGACATAGGAATCACCTGGGGATTTTGTCTGAAAGCAGATTCTGATTCAGAAACTTGGAATGAACTGGAAATTCCATTTCTAAAAAGCTCCTGAGTGATGCAAATTCTGCTGCTCTGTGAACTATGCTAAATAACAAGGTTTAAAGTTAAATTAGTGAGTCCCCATAGTGGCATCTTTTCTAATGTAAGAACAAGAAAAAGTATATTTCTCCTTCATAATATAATGATACTCTAGCAATTAGTAGTACATTAAAACAACAACGACAACAACAAACATTAAAACCAGAGCATGATTCTCATTATAAAATCCAAATTGCTTTTAGCATATCTAAAATTGAATAATGGGTCTGTGATTTCTCCCAAATTAATCCTATTAATGGCTTCTGTTTGTGAAGTTTATTGTTATATGTTGCTCCTGTAAAATCGTTAGTTCAAATAAATAATCTTTTCTTCAGCCACATCTTCAAGGCTTCAATTTAAAAAAAGGAAGAAAGATGGGCATGTGGGTGGTTCAGTCAGTTAAGCATCTACTTTTGGCTCAGGTCATGATCCCAGGATCTTGGGATTGAGTTCCACATGAGGTGCCCTGCTCAGTGATGAGTCTGCTTCTTCCTCTCTTCCTTCCCCTTCCTCCTGCTCATGCTCCCTCTCTTTCTCAAATAAGTAAAACAATTAAAAATAAATAAAGAAAGAAGGAAGAAAGACCAGTTATGTAGATAGTAGACACATCAATGAATATCAGCAACATTCCAGCATATGCTTTAAAAATTCAGATGCTACTTTGGCATTCTTTAAAGTAAATAAAATTCTTCATACTCAATATTATCAAATTTTTAAAAGAAAGTTTCTAACTATATTTTTCCCGAGAATTTTGTCTCAAGACTATTTCTAGGAAATATGCCTAAGATCACATTAGGTCTTTGTATAATAGTAATTCAGGTATAGCAAGATACCAGAATATTCAAGAACTCATGGGTTTTTCCATTTCACTTTGTGTGATCTTCACCCAGCATATTGTGAAAAATAAAAAAAGGAGTTTCCAAATTCAGAATTTAGTACTATATTTTTTGACTCTAATCAACTTATATGCAATAGGTACAAACCTCAATTTGTTAAATTACCACCAATCATGCTCCTTCCTATCTATTCTACTCATTATACTGTTTTAATTTTTTATATTTTAACAAAGCAAGTGCTCTTAAGCATCTATGATTCTTCCCTCCCTTTAATTCTCTAAATTTTATCTTTTGCTTTTGTCAGACGTGTTCATTCACTAATTTCTTAATTTGGGTACTCTTTCCATTTATCCTGCTTTTCCCTTCCAGTTGCACTTCTTTACCTCATTTCCTTGTGTATTATTGCATGAGTTTTATTCATTTATCTTCTTTTACCTATATGCCAGTCTGTCTATATGCCAGTCCATCTTTCATTTTGCTGCCAGAATTAATTTTGTTAAAGTTTCTTCCATAAGATTTTAGTGAAGAATAACAAATGGCTTCCAAAACTTTGCAAAATCAGTCCCATCATAAGTACATGTATCTTCTGTCAGGCTTGTACTTCATTTGTTGTACATACATGTGCGGTTCTTTGATTATCCAAATTCTGTCATCCTTCAGCTCCATTTGTGCCAATTTTTTTTTTTTCCTCCCAGTAGTCCAGCTGACTGGCACTGATTACTTCTCCTTTTCTGAAATAATCTATTTAACATTTCCACTATATATATGATACTAATTTTGGCATGAGTTCATTGGCTTTGATAAACCTTGACTTTAAATTATCAGTATGATATTGTCTTAAGCTTTCCTTAGCTCATCGTTACAGCTACATATATTGCTGACTTGAATGTCTTCTTACTTCCTTAACTACTCTGAACATATTTCAGTCAAGGGCCACTATTTTGCCTCATTTCAAAGTAAGTTGTAATTTTGCTTATCTTATGTTTCTTTTAGCTCAATTGTCCCTTCAACGTACAGATTTATTACGTGGGTGGCTCACAGAATTAAGCAGGAATTAAGGGCTGCCTTAATGACAGGAAAACTGTCCGTGTTTCTATTCACTGATATTGATGTCAATGTAAGTTATTGCTTACTTTCATATTTATTTTGGAGAAATTAATAAATAGCTACTATGAATTTGAAATGCATTTTAAAATAAAGATCTGTGGTATTAATTAGACTAAACTAATTTCTGATATCGACTTGAATCATTGCTCTGATGTAATCAACTACTGATAAAAATTTTCTTATTTTTGCTCAAAATGATCTTTAGTGTCTTAATTGAAATAATTACATGAATAAAACTTTCTTTTATTATACTTTGAAAGTGCCATGTTTAATATTTACTCTAAAGTATATTGTCTCTTTCAGATTATTTGGGTTCAATTTCATTTGACAATTAGGGTCTTTTTCAGATTTAATTGCTTTCTGCTATGTTTTTACCCAAATGCAGTATTAACTTCTTTTTTTTTTTTTTTTAAGATTTTTACTTATTTATTTGACAGACAGAGATCACAATAGGCAGAGAGGCAGGCAGAGAGAGAGGAGGAAGCAGGCTCCCTGCTGAGCAGAGAGCCCAATGCGGGGCTCGATCCCAGGACCCTGGGATCATGACCTGAGCCGAAGGCAGAGGCTTTAACCCACTGAGCCACCCAGGCGCCCCCAGTATTAACTTCTTTAACATGAGGAATTTAATTTACATATCAGAGTTAGCCTTCACCATATGGGCACTTCAAAACGTCACACACAATAAGTAATGTCTGATTACTAGTAGATCTCGATCAAAAGTTCAGTTCAATCCAAAATATCATTTACTAGTACAAATATCAGGCATTGTTGCAAGAAAACTGAATAAGAGCATTAAAAAAAAAAAGAGCATTTTTCCACGAAAGTATCATAGCTCTTATTAGGGGAAACAAAACAAAACAAAACAAAAAACAAAAACAACAATGTAAAAGCAATAATCTGAAATAGGTAAGATAGAAATGTAATGTAGCATAGAAGATATTTTAATAATTCTGTCTATGAAGGTTAAAAAGCCTTTTCAGAGAAAATGGTGTTAGAGAAGATTTGGGTGTCTTTTGTGAACTCCAAGAAAATTTAGGGCTAAGTAAAGTTAGTAGTAACTGGTATCCAATAATATTACTGGAATATAAAGTATGAAGAAGGAAATGTCAGGAATTGAGGCAAGAGAAGACAAGGGGCAATAAGCCAGAGTGCCTCACATGCTAAGTTATGATACAGACTTCATTCTAAATGAGAACTATTGGAATAGCTAATTGAAGTGACATGTTTACACAATATTTCAGAAAGATAATGTGAAAGTTATATGAAAGTCATGGAGTCACAGAAAAAGGAAGGAGGAAAGATGCAAAATAAAGATGCAAAATCATTAACCACCTTGCATATAAAAATGTATTTTAAAATAAAAATATTTTATACTAATTAGACCAAAGTACTTTCTGAAGT